CACGGGCAACAGAGAGAAAGAGAAAATAAAAACAAGGATGGCCACAGGTGCGCTCGTGCACCCCCCCAGGGACTCTCGTAAATGACACTGTTACTGGATATTCCATTTTAATATCATATAGATACATATCCCCTATGTGATAATACGCCTGTTATACCTAATGTAGTAAGCAGCACACACCCATCTTCCTCCCCATGTTGCCCAGAAGCGGACTGATCCAAGATGAGACAAATGGAGGACACCATAGGTTTTTCTGAAAGGGATGGACATTGTTCACATTAATTTAAAACCACAGTCTCACTATTCTGACTGTCAATAGGACCCCAATAAAAGTAATTTTTAAAATTTAGTCATGCATAGCCAAGCTCACAATAACCTCCTATACTTTGGAATCTGCCTATGTACTGTGTTTGCTATGAGCAGGCACGACCCACTGCGGCTTGTGTTAGTGCTTGGTTGGTCGTCGTACCTTTTAGGCTAATCAGCACCTTTTTGAGAGAGAGAGAAAGTGTGTGTTTGTGTGTGTGTGAAAGAGAAAGAATACTCCAGACATTAAAAACCGCTGCAGTAAAATCTCATTGTAAAATAAATCCAAACTATGACACAATGTAAATTTACATTCCTTTCTACCTGGCCCTGGTCACTCGCTTTTGAAGACACATGGCGGCACCATTCGTTCGTCTCAGCCCTGTTCTATGAACCTTACCCCCCACCCAAAAAGAAAAAAAAAAAAAAGAGAACCATGCAGTTGCACCACTTCCTGTCAACATCAAGATGTTATTCAGAGGGGATACTGTTGTGTTCGGATGTAGAGGAGGTGAAGAGGACGGACATTTCTTCATCCTTGAGTGGTTAGTGTCAAACCTGGGTGGACTATGTGACTGAATGTGTTTGTTTGTTTAATCCAAAGTTAAGAGTTCAGTTCAGTCTGAGATCAGTGGATCCTCAGCGATGGTCAGGAGAACACTCTTCTTCACCACAACTCCCATCTTGTAGTGGAACAGGAAATGTAGAAGCACGGTGTGTACCTGTGTGTGAGTGCAAGCGTACGTGTGGATGTAAGCAGTTTGCTGCTGTGAAAGGGTGTTAAGGATGTGTGTTTTGTTCTCGGTCTGTGTGGGCGAGAGCTCATGACGGATGGTTTTGGTGGGCAGAGTTCTGAGGTTGACGTGTGGGAGGGCGCTACGTCTCCTATAGGCCGTCAGACGGGGGTTCGCTGCCGCTGGAGCCGGACTGGGCACGCTTGATGTACAGATTCAACAGCTTCAGCTACGGACAGAAAAACAGACAGAGGAGAGACATGTGAATGTGTGTCTTGGAAGTCATACAAGGGGGTACACCGTGGTGAAAATCCAGCCTGTGAAAACACTTAGTACCTCAGATGTGTTGTCATGCATGGTGTTTGTCTTTATGTGACAAATTATTATCTTAGGTTAAAATGTGCCATCTTAAGCTTGTTAATATGTTGAAATTAATACGAAATGACCAGTGCTGGCTGATTCTTCCATACATTGGCTGGCAGTGCTAGAGCTGACCCCACTACGGTGTTAGTGTACGATTGTGGTATATATGACTACTGCATCTGTTTAGGCTTCCTGTCACATGACTATTTTGATGTATTGGGATGAATCTGATCAAGCACTGAGATTCTGCCAAATATACATTTTTTGCTGATCTAATAAACCCCTTTATGTAATTTGTGTTTCCCTGTCTTTATGTTTTTGTATGTCATTTAACAGTCTGTCTGATCTTTTAATAACAGTAGTTTGAATGCAAGAAAGAGACATAACATTAATTCAAATATTAGTTTCAATACAGAAAAATGTGCTTTAATATTTCATAACATTACAAAAAAAGAAAGGAAAATTACTGTTTTTAATCAAGGGAGTCTGGTGGATCTTACTCTAAAAAGGTCTCTCTCTGTAGGGATCATTTCTACACTGTCAGACACTTGTCATAACAATCTGAGACTGTCAGTGGCAAAAACAAGCACTTTACTGGACGTACTTGGGCGCAATTGCCTGCAAGGATTATGTTGCAGACTGGTTTCGCTGCAGCTCGCTGGCTCAATACCCTTTAAGGTGCCATAACATTGATGTAATCAAGATATAAGATCTTGCATTAGAACACTGATGAGAAACAACACATTTTCAGCCAACTGGCTTGTGCTAAGTTCACGTTTCTACTGCTTATAGGTCAGGTTACCTTGCTGCTGGAGAGTTGGCTGAGGTGCGGTTTGAGGTCTTCTCCGATCACTGCGTAAATGGCCACCAAGCAGAACACACAGGCTTTCCTCACACTGCTCTCAGAGTTGTCGTAACCCTGTTCACACAGATAACATCGATTACAAACCTGCCAGACACTCTCGTCAAAATGAAGGAGTCTGAGAAACTATTCATGTAGGAAAGCATGGATGGCGTGTGAGGACAGGAGGCACATTTGATTTTTCCAACTTTATGAAGAAATAACATATTAGCCACTTATGACAAAGCTTTACCAAGATCTAGAATAACTGAGAACTATTGTTTAAACAGAATCACTTGACTGCAAAACATACAAAGAACAATTTGTCTTATTTTTAATAAACCTAGACTGCGATTTTCAGCATCAAAACTAAATGTTAAATATATGGTCTGTGTGTGTTACCTGTATGAGTCCTGGCACTATCTCAGGCAGCAGGCTCATCAGGCCCTCGCGGGGAACCCTCTCCACCACTTTGGTCTGCATCTTGATGGCAGCCAGGTTGATGGGGTAGTCAGCTGACTGGATGATGGGACACAAGACCTTGACACACTGGTCTGGACTAATGGACAACGCCAACATGGCTGCAGTCTCCTCTGCTGCTCGTACCACCTGAAGGAACACACGCAATCATCATCAGTATTGATGGTATGAAAACTTTATTTGGGCTCTTCACTCATCTCTTCACGAATTCTGAAGTTCTCATGATAAAAACAGTTTTTAAGTGAACTCGTCTGCGAGTACATATACCTCCTTGTGGTGGTCTTTGTGAGCCTCCAAGGCCTTCATGATGGTGAGCTCTGCGTAGTTTTGAACCTCCAGGGCTGCTTGCTGAGAATCTCCCTCAGCACCCGCAGAGCCAGCGTCCGGATCACATGCTGGGAGAATTACAAAGATTGAAGATTAAAAGAGAAAACTTATCTTGGCCTATTTGCACCAGTGTTATCGCAGAAATGAAGCGAGTGCGTGTACCTCTCTGTCGCCCATCGTTTCGAGCAGGAGCAGCAGAATGGTCTTGAAATGTTCGTCCCACACCTGCAGGGTGTTTTCGCGAATCAGCTTCAGCAGTTTGTGCAGCGCTGCTTTCCTCTCCTCAATGCGCTCATTGTGATTGGACAACTCTTTCAGCAGCTCGGCCACCAACTCTGATTGGTCCAAGCTGCTATCTGTTAAGAGACAAAAAAAATGGTACGATCATCATACGATTTGTTTTGTGTGGTACACAGCATGTCTGTTATTTTTCTGACAGGATGTGTATGTATGTACCATCAGTGAGACACTCTGAGTCGTCCATGCTGGTGTCTTTGCGACTGTGTTTGAAAGGAGAGTCCGAGAAGTGCTCGCGGGCCCCTCGTGGACTGGATGAGAGCAAGGGGGTGTTGAGGAGGGAGGTCTTGTTATCCAGAGCCATGCGGCCTCCTTCCACTGAGTCTGACATTCGGATGTCTGTCCCGCTGTCACCCTGCAGAGATGCAATAAAATAAAAAAAAGTGTGTCACTTTCACAGCTGTATTTTGGTTCATTTGGTCCAGACCAAATAAAAACAAAACAAAAAAACAGATAACACTATTGCCTTTTATTTCACATCTGTTTTATGTTCACACCGACTGTTTTTAAGTTGAACCAAGAGGTGTACACATGGACGAGTCACATGGACTCACAGCCAACTCATTCATTAGACAGATTTCACAAAAGAACCCAACCAAAAAACATGTTTATTCC